TGGAAATAATTTAAATATTTGATATTAAGTATTTGTAATGCTTGAGGTATGAATTCGTTGGTGACGTGTATAATGTAATAGATGATTTAGAGGTAAAAGTTTTTGGATATTCTATTTATTTTATATGTGGAAATGTTGATATTTGTAAAGGGTAAATACTTTTTCGCGATCATGTAATTTCATATATGTTCTTTTTACCGGGTTTAAAGATTGAGAAAATTGTCATGTATTTTCGTGAATTTTTTTTTAATTTATGAGAAAAAAGCAGTGTACATGGATATAGTGAAGAGTGTGCGCAATGCCATTTTTGTGCAATTCTGGGATGTTTTTTTAAGTAAAAATAAGTCGACGTGTACATGGTTTAGTGATATTTTAATGAAATGATAGTTATTTTGTGAATTTTATGCTTGTAGGAATTTGGTAAGTTGAAATAAACGTGCATGGAAATAATTTAAATATTTGATACGAAGTATTTGTAATGCTTTCGGTATGAATTTGTTGGTGATGTGTATAATGTAATAGATGATTTAGAGGTAAAAGTTTTTGGATATTTTATTTTTTTTATATGTGGAAATGTTCATATTTGTAAAGGGTAAATACTTTTTCGCGATCAGGTAATTTCATATATGTTCTTTTTAACGGGTTTAAAAGATTAAGAAAATTGTCATGTATTTTTGTAAATAAAAATTAGTATTCTTATACTTACGTTTACATTACACTTATATGTATTTTCTCTAATTCATATAGAATAATAATATTTCTATTACAAGTATCTTTTCTCATTTGTAAGTACTTTGCCTGTTGATTGATATATTTCGGTAAGAGCCATGCCCATGTAATAAATTAATGAATGCATGACCTTTAGTACATCCATTTTACATAGTTTCAGTACTTTTTCTTTCCAAGTTCCTTCCATACAGCTGAAAGCATTTTATGTTGAAACAAATACCTGTCCTTTTTCATAATATATTTCACAATACAAATAACCTTCAATAGTAATCAAATTTTCTTCAGTAGCATTGTTAATAAAACTAGAACTTTATACATTTTCTTATATTTCAAGAGTCATTTGAACTGTATTCCTTACACCAGCAGTGGTCTGCTAATTTTGATGACCATGGGGATGCATCAAACTATTCTGTTATCTTAGATAATCAATAATATTTTTTATTTCAATTTAATCAGCTATTTATGTCACACCTTCCATCCTCTAAAAGGTTACTGTTAGAAAAGCATTAATAATATAGTATCTTGTTAAAATTTTATGCCATAAAAATTGATTTATTCTCATAATTTTAGATGACAATAACCAATAATAAAAATAAAAGCATTCCTTAATTATTTAAAATGCACATGCACGTTTTTGCAGCCTACGAAAACAAATTATTTTAGGGGTTGGAAACCTCATGGTTTTGCGTGCTTACAGCTGTTAATAATTAGGAACATAACGTGAACAGCCATGCTCACAAATAGCATTCACCCCTCCCGCCATATTTTCTTCCTTTGATCCCGAACTGACGAGCCGAGAACCAGCATCTATCGACGAAAACTTCTTTAATTATACAAAAATATTTCTATCGATCCATTGTTAAAAAATTCAGAAAAATAATAATAAATAAGAGAAGAATAATATAAATCTCCAAAATGAGAACAACGATAGCCTTCGAACAAGCGAATAGGATGAATCGGCTAGGTTACCAGGTTTGAACTATTTATCGCCAAAGTTGGTGATGTTTACATTTACCGGGTTCTCTGCGGAAGTGCTTCCTTTCTGAATCCTATCCTAGTAACAGATAAGTACCCAATTATATATGAATTTATGTTTGTAAACATTCTAAGACAGTATTATTTTGGGCATTTCTCTTAGTTTTAATTCACCTAAAAATTATGAAAATGTATAACGTGCAAATAAAAATGGCAACTTTAAATTCTATGTGCAGAATTTCAAAGATTTAGATTGATTTAAAACTGAGATATCTATGTTTGAAGTACTAAATATTAAAATTAAATAATAAATAAACATAAAGCTATTTAATTATAAATTTATTTTCAAAAACTCGTACTAAGTGGCACTTAGAAAACTCATTCTGTAATTATTTGTAATACTATTCAATTATAAGAACCATAAAAAAGTGCAAACTATCATTGAAGCCAATGATGCCAAAAATAGTTACAGTAACACTAAAAAGTTAACACTAAAAAGGAAGCATAATAGAAAATAACTATGTAAGAATATTATTCTACATTAGATGAAAGGTTAATTTCATAAATAACACTAATTCAATCCATAAAAAAAATAAAAAAAAAAAAAAAAAAAAAAAATCAAACATAAGTGAAATTAAATGCTGTCAGGAGGAAGTGAAGAATGCAATCCTATGAGTAATCACACAGCTGTGACTGTATCCTGTATTAAACTAAAAAAAAATGTAAAAGTTTACAATTGGGTGCCTCTTGTTTATTGGCGAGGCCCACCAGCGGCCTAGCAGTAAAGTCGCAGAACACTGGTAGTTCGGTCCGAGGTTCGAATCACGCGAACGGGCTGGCTGCATGGGTGTTTTCGTGGTTTTCCCCATGTGTAACGTGTATTCGAGCCAGTTTCCCTTAGAAAGTCCTCCACTAAGGCATCCCTCCCCTTAGGCAGATAGCCCTAGTGTGCTTTGCCATAATTAAATACACACACACTTGTTTATTGGCGATTCTTTCTTGACGCCAAGATCGGCGCAAGGAAGTCACAATTTCAAGATGGCTGCTACACAAAACCAAAATAAAAAGTCGAAGAATTGCATAACATCTGTGTCCATGTACACATCGATCTGTTTTTACTTTAAAAAAAAACCCTAGAATTGCACAAACTAGGCATTGCGCACTGCCTTAAATATGTCCATGTACACATCAATCTATTTTCATTTAAATAAAATCGGGAAGCTAAAACAAATTTGAAACTATCGTGATAACCAGAAGTGAGGTTTCATCGGCAAAATTTTTAAAAAAATTTTGCCAATCGAAGAGGCACCCAATTCTACACTAAAGCCAAAAAAACCCTCGTTTAACACAAAACACTTACAAAGTACAGCATTCCTATTGTTATGAAATACTTAGTGCTTCAGAATTTCAGACCTAAATGGGCTGATCTTTGGAATATGGTAACTGGTAGTTTGGCGACATTTTGGAGGCGATAAAGGTTACTACCTAGGAATTTGGTAATAACGTGAGAAGTACTCAGTTCCGATTACAGAGTATTTTGTGTGAGGGAAATGAGAGATCATGAGATATGTCATGTGACATTAATGGATGAATTACAGTTCTTTAATCAGAAAAGGGGGAAAATCTGGAAATATTGTATTTAGCTTTATTCTGTGTTGTGTGAAACAGTGTTGGTTAATTTTTGGATCCCATGGCCCTATCTAAAGTGAATTCGAAATGGGTATTTAGTGGGAATGAAAGGGTAGTAGTAAGTGTTTTTTTAAGGTTGTGCGAGATCGAAGTAAAGATTGCTTATTAAGTTTTATTAAGTCCGTTTGGAGGATGAAGGTTTTCAACATCTTGCTGTGAACTATAAGTATGATTTAAAAGATCCTGAAACAGGCGCACATAAGATTGCTTTTTATTTAGCGGAGGAAATAAGAAAAGTGTATGCGCTACGTAATCAAGATTCAGCAGAATATTAGGTAAGTTAGTATTTTTAATTATTTGAGGATATTATTTTTATGCATTGTTCTAAATGTAAGGAGTAAATAAAGTAATATGGTATTATTGGAAAATTGTTATTAGCAATGATTTAGTTTACAGTAATTAGGATTGTAAGCTAATTTTTATTAATTTGATGTGCTTATTTGTATTTTAAGTAGTGTTTTTGAATTTAATTATATTTTAATTAAATGATAGTTATTTTGTGAATTATATGTTTGTAGGAATTTGGTATACGTTTGAGTGGAAGTAAACCTGCATGGAAATAATTTAAATATTTGACACTAAGTATTTGTAACCATTTTTAATGTTTGCGGTTATGAATTCGTTGGTGACATTATAATATATAGATAATTTAGAGGTAAAAAGTTTTTGGATATTTTATTTATTTTATACGTGGAAATGTTCATCTTTGGAAAGGGTATATACTTTTTTGCGATCAGGTAATTTCATATATGTTCTTTTTACCGGATTTAAAGATTCACAAAATTTTCCTGCATTTTCGTGAAATTTTTCTAATTTATGAGAAAAAAGCAGTGTACATGGATATAGTGAAGAGTGTGCGCAATGCCATTTTTGTGCAATTCTGGGATGTTTTTTTAAGTAAAAATAAGTCGACGTGTACATGGTTTATGTGTATGTGCTATTCTGAAAAACGCACAAGGCAAGGAGTTTACGATTGCACTTTTTCCCAATTTTGCAGTTAATATTTGTCATGATTAAGCAGTTTTGTTACCATAAATTTCTTGGCATAAGTGTAATTCGGCTAGTAGATTGTTGGAAAAAGTGTTCAGTAAATAAAAAGAAAAGAAAACGTCTTTACTTCGTGAAGACAAAATGGCGGCGAAAAAAAAAATAGAGGGTTGCTGTAGCAGAGTTGGTCGCCAAAAAATCGCCAAGTTACCATAATCCAAAGATCAACCCCTAAATGTTCTAATGTGGTCACATGAAAATGGCCCAAATAGTACATTCTGACAGGAAATTAACATGGACTATTTAAGGGTAGAAAATGAAAATGAATAGTAACTATTACATAAAATATACTGAAAACATTTCAAAGGAACAATGAGGATGGAAAAAAAAACACCTTATTAGCGCAAGATGCTTTGGTTTTCCGCCAAGACTTCATATTGTAATTGTGAAATTTGCAGTGCAGTCTCTGATTGATCTTTTAAACCTAGCATAATGAGCATGGGAATTCTCAGAATTGAAATGTTGGTTTCATGAGAGGTTCAGCTATAAAGAATGAACGAGAAATGTTGGGTTCTTAGTGTTAAAAATCATATAAAACAATATATTTCAATTTTTCATAGTTTTAGAGAATGCATTGAAAAGTGAAATTCTAGTGACAGATTCAAATCAGAGAAGGTAGGTATTGCAAAATACATAAAGAGCTCCGAATGAAAGAATTAGTTTCAAAACTTTTTTATCAGTCTAGATATATGCAGTTTTGCACCTTTCTTTCCTTATTAAATATCAAAGATAAGCATATGCACCTTTACATCAGCAATACTTCATATGACTTGATTTATCCTGTAAATATGAGCTTTTTCTATTGTAGAAAAAATAAGTACTTTATTAAGAACTTGGATGAAATGACAAGTTACACACATTTCATATATAATGAGATTTCTTTCCTGCATGGACAAGTCCTTACAGCACTGATAAGTAAAGATTCTTATTAATATATTTTTTTCACAAAAGACATGAGGTATCATCAGATTCTTTTTGTCCATATGACTTGTCACACAGGTGACTCGCAGAGTTCTCCTTTTGTATGAATAAATATATGCCTGTTTAAAGAACTCTTTTGTCTAAATGACTTGGTACATACCTTACACACATGAGGTTTTTCTCCTGTGTGAATAAGCATATGTATGTTTAAGTGACCCTTCATTCTAAATGATTTGTTACATACCTCACACAAATGAGGTTTCTCTCCTCTGTGAATAAGCATATGCTCATTTAAAACAGACGGTCCTCTAAATGAATTGTTACACACTTCACACATATAAGGTTTGTCTCCTGTGTGAATAAGCATATGCTGGTTCAAATGACATTTTCGTCTAAAGAACTTATTACATATCTCGCAGACATAAGGTTTTTCTCCAGAATGAATAAGCATATGCTTATTTAAATCACCCTTTTGTCTAAATGACTTGTTACATACTTCACACACGTAAGGTTTTTCTCCAGTGTGAATAAGCATATGACTGTTTAAATCAGACTTTATTCTAAATGACTTGCTACATACTTCACACACATGAGGTTTCTCTCCAGTATGAATAAGCACATGCTTGCTTAAATAATCCTTTAGTCCAAATGACATATTACATACCTCACACACATGAGGTTTCTCTCCTGTGTGAATAAACATATGCTTGTTTAATTTATCTTTTTCTCTGAATAACTTTTTACATACATGGCACATGTGAGGCCTTTTCCCTGTGTGAATAAGTATATGCCTGTTTAACTGATTCTTTCGTGTAAATGATTTATTACATTCCTCACACAAATAAGGTTTTTGTACTGTGCGAATAAGCATGTTTAAAGTAGAATTTAGTCTAAATGAACAATTATGTATATCAGGCTTGAGGTTTCTTTCATGTGTTCTCTTTTAAAATACTGATTTTCGCAGATAACTCGTACTTACCTTCTAGGCATGAATTTTGTCCCCCTACGTAACTATTAGCAGATAATAAGCTGACACACTTGTTATTCTAAAACTTGCTACATATATTACAATGATATTCACTTTTTACACGGATGTAAAAGGGTCTGGTTAATAAAGTATTCAAAGTAGTTCTTGGATGCTTCACATAAGATGTTGGTACCTTCTGCAAACATACAATTCACTGGCTCTATATCTCATTGTAACACTTCCAGTATGCGATTAATTGCAAGAACTCAATGTAAATAACACTTCCAGTATGCGATATAAACCAGCTTCTATTTTCAGGTAACACTTCATTAAAGATTGATTTCTTACACCTGACATAAGCATGAGTGAGTGAGTGAGAGATTATGGCGCAAAACCAAAGATGATTATAGCCCGCCAAACACGAGATGGGATGATTACAAATGATGAAATTAAAATACAATAATTAAAAACAAGTATACAAATGTACCAAATCCAGAGGATGAGGTCATATAAAAACAAGTTAAAAGCACACATTAAAATTCAAGACACAGTCTTCAAAACAAATTACGGTAAAATCCTAGTATACGGTGCGGCCTTGGCGCGATTTTTAAAATTGTCGCCAACACTAGAGCTGGAGCAAACCGCATGTATTCGTTACTGAGTAACGGGCAAAGCTGTTTCAAAATACCAAAGCCCCGTTACCAAAGCTGTATATAAATACAGCTTTGGTAACGGGTACATCGGTTGACTCGAAGTACCGATTCGGTACTCACAAATTCATTTTGTTACTCGCAAGTATTCGTTACTCGCATCTATCGTACGATGCGGTTTGTTCGAAGGCGCCTATAGTTGGTGATTCAGCCTGGTTTAGAGGAGCCTTAGTTTATTCGAATACGAATACGAATGATGCGGTTGCTGTTCGAATACGAATGATACGGTTTCTATGCGATGCGATGACGAGTTGCGTTCACAAATGCGCTCATAATTTTTATATATAATTTTGAATTTTTTGTGGCATCGGGCAAACACTTGTTTACATTATGTGTTTTAGTTGAAATATTGTTTAGTTGTTGATATTTAAGAAATGAGCATTTTGATAGCGGGAAGAGTTATTTTGTATTTGCTTTTTACTATTGCTATTTATGTTTGTAATTTGAAAATTTAGATGATTATTGATTTATGTTTTTTCCTTGAGCGTGCCATAGTGAGATTTTATTGATTTGAAATATTTATCTACTGCACTTAGGTATTGTTTATATAAGAATATGTAAGGTTAATATAGGTTCTTTACTTCCTTGTATCGAAATGAAAATGGTAGTAAGTATTGTAATCGAGAAAATTTTTGGGTATCATATTTTAACGGAAATATCCATTTTTGACGATTACAGGAATGCCATGTGAATTATTTTGGGTGGGGTGACGTCTGTACGTACGAACACAATGGACTCTCTCTTTTTTTTTTTTTTTTTTCAAAAAAACTTATTGTTAAATGTAATCCCATTTACTCTAAGCTGATACTTATGACTAATGATTATGACTATAAGTTGATACTTGAAAGGGATTTTTTTCCTGATTGCAAGTACGTATGTATGCATTTTACATAACTCAAAACGATTAGTTATAGAACGTTGAAATTTGTATATGGGTCCGTTATAACATCTAGATGTGCACGTCCCTTTTATTGCAATCGGTAATGCTACAAACGTAAAATGTATATATATATATCAAATAAATTATAATTAAATGTAAAGTACATATATATATGTCCTTATAATTAAATTAAAGAACACACACACACAAACATATATATATAATAAAAACTTTGGCTTTTATTTTATTTAATTATCACTAAATAAGTTACTTGACTTTTATTTTCGCAATCATTGGTTGTAGTCAGGACTTAATTTTTAAAATTACAAGTGCTAGAGCTCTAAGGAAGGCCTTCAGGAAAGATGAATAAATAAATAAATAAATAAATAACTATTACAATAATAAAATAATTAGCAACTAGAATATAAATGATTATTATTATAATTCAATAAAAATTTAAAGACAAATGAAAATTTAGTTAATTCTTAAATTAATAATGAATAACTAAATAATGAAATAAAATACCAGACATCGTCTTGTTTGGGGGCTGTGGCTAAAATTGCAATTTAAGAACTAAGACGAGCATTAGCTAAATTTAGGCTTTTGATGAGAAAATAATGTACTGTTTACCAGAGTATAGATAGAAATTTGGTTATGTAACCCATTCTTCTAAAACGACGTTTCGTCGCTGCCTTCCACCACCAATTCTCTTTTTATTATTATTATTATTATTATTTTCGGTTTCGGTTTATTCGGTTACAGCAAAGCACACTAGGGCTATTGTCCCTACGGGGAGAGAGGTCTTCGTGGAGGATTTTTTAAAGGGAACTGACTCATATGCAAGTTACACACGGGGAAAACCATGAAAACGCCTGTGCAGCTAGCCGTTAGCCTGGAATTGAACCCCGGACCGAAATATTAGTGCTCAGCGACTTTACGGCTCGAGCTCGATTAGAATAATGGATATCAAACATGTTCAAAAGGTGTGTATCTGAATATAATTAGGTTTTTATAACATAGGGCCCATTTTATTAGTTTCACATAGTTCTAAAGCAATTGACCACAGTATCGCTGTTTTGAAAGAAAGTAAAAATGTGAGAAATGGATAATGAACATTAATATACAAGCTTTATTAAAAGTAGTCAGCCTTTTAAAACGTGACCGTCTATGCTTTTAGAGGATTTTGGAGCTCTGTGTATTTGCTCTGGTATCTTAAAAAAGTGATGTTCAATATCAACGTATGTTTATGTTCTCAAAAAATACAGGTCTCTTTCAGAAAGCGACCTCTTAGAAAGTCGTCAATAAATGATTCAGTATTAGTTATTTTCTAATAGACCATAGAATAAATTTATTTTAACGTCAATTTAAAAATGGCTTGCTTGTACTAAGAGTTAAGAGCAATAAGACTCTAATTTTTCTTTCGCAATTAGCTGTCATGCCAGCTGAATTGTTTTCTGCAGAATCTTTATTGTGCATAATTGAAATATTTAGCTATGCATTCAACAAATATACAACAAATGGAAGACAAATCTTTAAAAAAATTAAATTTGGAACATTAATAATAATTTTTTTGTTATACATAAAATATTATTAATGAATGATGAATATATAATATTATATATAAATCAAAATTAGCTCCTATCCCTTTATAATAAATTGAAAGAAAAGCTATAAAGTGAATTAATTTTTAAAAGCAAAATGAAAATTTAAAAAAAAAATTGTCATATACCTAGAATCTTAAAAATGACGAATACTTGAATTTTACGCCTCATGTGTGTATGCGTGTGTTTAATTATGGCAAAGCACACTATTGCTACCTGCCTAAAGGATGGATGCTTTCGTGGAGGACTTTCTAAGGAAAACTGGCTTGTATACACGTTACACATGGGGAAAGCCACGAAAATACCCATGTAGCCGGACCGTTCGCGGGATTTGAACCTCGGACCGAACTACCAGTGTTCAGCGACTTTACCGCTCGGCCGCTGGTGGGTCGTTTTACGACTCATATAATAATAAATGCATATTCATATTGTAACAGAAATTTTGTTAAAAGTCTAGCATATGTATAGTTATTTGTGAATCTTTTAAAATTGTCGTAACATGATGCATATTTATCATTATCATGAACCAAAACAGT